ACACACTGCACCAGGTGCTCATTTGAGGCCGAGTCGACCTGGAGAGGCCCAGGACCGGTTCAGATAACCGTCACTGGGTTCATAGCGCAGCGCGCTAACCGCTACACTACCGCTCCCCGCTACACACAGTGACACAGAAGTCACACAAAGTGACATCACCACGGCACTTGTGCCAGGCCAAGTGCACTTTAAGGCCACGTGAAGTGTCAAACGCCAGCTGGCTGGAGGTCACAGGACAGGCCCAGATGCCATGGGTCGACTGACTGAGATGACCGGCAGATGCACCACCTGTGCCCCCTTCTGTGCCAACTTGCTGTGTTTTAGCAGCCCGGTGCTCTGCTCGTTGTTGTGAGTGTCGCTCCTCTGCCCTCTGTTGTTGCTGGAGGGTGACTGCCTCCAGCTGCTCAGTTGCGTCCTCCACAGAGGCCGATCTTGACACTGCTGGTATCAATCATCGGCAAGTCTACTCAGCTCCACATCCTAGTGTACCACATCACTCCATCTGTTCTCTAGCCCGTGCCGCGTCTGTTTAGGCCCCTCTATTCGCCCAAACAAAAGCTGTTTAGGCATGTGGTGGCTGGGCATGCGAGCTGACCCAGCCAACGCAGCCTTGCTTGCCGGAGGAGCTCACTGATGGGACTTTCTTTCAAGGATTTGTGAGCTCCTCACACAATCCAGCCTGGTTAAACCCAGGATGGATCGTAGGCAGGCCAGCCTAAATGTTTCAAACTGGCAAAGATGTACTATTCGGGGGGTCCACGTTTCGCAACCGCAGAGAAGGGAGGACATGACTGTGGCCGAGAAGATCCAAAGCTTCGTGTGCAGTGACAGACCAGGTACCTTCCACACAGCGTTACGTAGGCGATGAAAAGATAATGCCGCTGGACTGATTTGGAGTGAGACGTCTGCCGTCAAACCGGAGCCGGCCATAAGCATACTGCCCAGGTATAGAAAACTCTCCACTCTCTCGACAACTGCTCCAACACCAATGGGGGCTGAGGGGGTGCAGTGTTTGATGGCACAAAATACCCAGGCAGGTGCTTAGTTTTGGTGGAACTGATGGTAAGACCCCACTTCTTAGTGGCACACACCAGGTTCAGCTGTAGCACCTCCAACGCCTCCTCTGAGCGAGCAGCAATCACCAGATCAACGGCATACATAACACGGTTGACCAATAGGGAGCCATCCCTTCACCGCACCCGGGCATCGATTAGCCTCCCAGTGTATCACAGCCATGGAAAACTTCACGAACTACGCAGTCAAAGATTGTAGTGCATTGTCTTTGATCTGTACGCCTTTTGGCATCATCTGGTCAAGCACCAATTGAGACGAAGCTCAAAAGAAAGCCGTCTCTGGTGTGGACCAATCAGTTTCAAGGACAATGCATCATCATATATTATCAGAGTGTACTCTGTGGTTCTTTCGGTAAAGTCACGTAGGTAGAAAATAAAATAAATTAAATCACGACGTTTCGGGTGCAACACAAGCGTCCATCATCAGGTGGCACAACCACAGAGTATGGATTCCTGCAGCCACGAAAACTTCAAATCTAGATTTGATCAGAGCCTGTTTTTTGTTTGTGGTTAACGCACACATGATTCCTTGTAAAAAAGGTTTCGGGTTTTGTTGCCAGAAAAAAGTGGAGAAACCCTATTATTATTATTATTATAAAGATGATGATGTTAACTAATGTGGGAGCCCGTGCCCCCCCCATCCTGCACCCCCCCTTCCCGACCCGTGCCCCCCCCACCGGCGCCCACCCACCTGTCTGCGAGCGTCGTCGAGCGCCACCTCCAGCTGGCGAGACAGCGCCGCCACGTCACGCGCCCTCTCCTCTCCGCGCAGCCGCTCCAGCGCCAGCGACTCCTCCCGCTGGGCCACGGCCTGCGCCAGCTCGCGGCTCTGCTGCTCCGCGCCCTCCACGCGCCTGCACAAACACGAAGGCCCCCAACCCCCGACCGCGTGACCTTCCCGACGGCCTTTGGGGCAAGCGCCTTTCGCGCAGCGGCACCCCTCAAGGCCTGGCACGGCGCACCACCCACGAGGTGGTGGTGTGGCCGGCAGGCCACGAGGCCAGCCGCCTTCTGCGTGTGATGGGGCTGGCTGTGTGCGACGTTGCAGCGCGTGCACGTGTGATGTTGCCGTGTGGGTGACGTTGCCGTGCATGCGACGTTGCCGTGCGTGTGACGTTGCCGTGTGTGTGAGCGTGCGTGACGTTGCCGTGTGTTGCGACGTCGCTGTGCGTGTGACGTTGCCGTGTGCGTGCGTGACGTTGCCGTGTGCGTGCGTGACGTTGCTGTGCGTGCGACGTTGCTGTGCGTGTGACGTTTCCGTGTGCGTGTGACGTTGCCGTGTGCGTGCGTGACGTTGCTGTGCGTGTGACGTTGCCGTGTGCGTGTGCGACGGCGCTGGTTAACCTCTGCAAGGCGTCGGTCTTGAGCTGCAGTTCACGATTCACCTCCTGCAGCGATGCCGCGCTCTCCCGCACAGACTCCAGCTGCAGCGCCTGCTGCTCCGCCTGCACCGGCCGCCCCCCCCCCCCCCACCGCACAGACAAGAGACAAAGGTCGCCCGCGTAGCCCACGCACACTGTCGGGGCAAGTGCCGTTCGCGAGCGGCACCCACAAAGACCGCTAGGGCGCACAAGAGTGCGGGTGGCCGGCACCACGCGCCTTGGCCCACCTATCACCTCTGTCTGCCGAGCGCCGACGTTTACAAACTGCACTGGATATTCATTCACGGCCGAGTTCGGCCTTTAGTGGAGGCCTCAGGAACAATTACGATAATCGTCACCAGTGTTGGCCGTGAGCGGGAATTGAACCCCGTTTACACACATGCACAGACACACAACAACAACAACAACAACCGCCATTCACCACTAAGTGGTGGTGACGTCACCACGGCCCGCTGGCAAAAGGTCACGGGGCAGACCCAGCAGGTGCCATGGGTCGACCGACTGAGATGACTGGCCGATGCACCACCTGTGCCCCCTACTGTGCCAAACTGCTGTTTTATCCGCCCGGCGCTCCGCTCGTTGTTGTGAGCGTCACGTCTCTGGCCTCCGTTCTTGCTGGAGGGCGACTGCCTCCAACTGCCGAGTAGCATCCTTCACGAGCCTCCTCCACAAAGAGGCCGATCTTGACACCGCTGGTACCGCTCATCGGCAAGTCCACTCAGCTCCACGTCCTCCTGTACCACATCACTCCGTCTCTTCTCTAGCCCGTGCAGCACCCATCTAGCCCCCTCTATCCGGCCGAACGAAAGCTGTTTCGGCATGCGGTGGCTGGGCATGCGGGCCACAGGACCCAGCGCAGACACACACGGACCTTGACGTGAGCCTCGGCCAGGCTGGACGCCTGCTCGGCCTCCCTCCTGTGCGCAGTGGCCAGCGTGGCCTCGCTGTCGCGCAGACGCAGCTCAGCGGCCTTCAGCATCTCGGGCAGCGGCTCCAGCTGGGAGAGACGTGACTCTACCGAGCGCCGCATCTATACACAGACGCCGTCGTAGAGACGCGCACGCATAGACGTTACACTTAGACACGCACACATTACACTTAGACACACATCACACTGAGATACACACGCACAGACATTACACTTATACACACATCACACTGAGATACACACGCATAGACATTCAACTTAGACGCACACATTACACTTAGACACGCACAGACATTACACTTTGACACACATCACACTGAGATACACACGCATAGACATTCAACTTAGACGCACACATTACACTTAGACACGCACACATTACACTTAAACACGCACACGTTACACTTAGATACACATCACACTGAGATACACACGCAGAGACATTACACTTAGACACGCACACATTACACTTAGACACACATCACACTGAGATACACACGCATAGACATTACACTTAGACACGCACACATTACACTTAGACACGCACACATTACACTTAGACACACATCACACTGAGATACACACGCACAGACATTACACTTAGACATGCACACATTACACTTAGACACACATCACACTGAGATACACACGCATAAACATTACACTTAGACACACACACATTACACTTAGACACACATCACACTGAGATACACACACATAGACATTAAACTTAGACACACATCACACTGAGATACACACGCTTAGACATTAAACTTAGACACGCACACATTACACTTAGACACACATCACACTGAGATACACACGCACAGACATTACACTTAGACACGCACACATTACACTTAGACACACATCACACTGAGATACACACGCACAGACATTACACTTAGACACACATCACACTGAGATACACACGCACAGACATTAAACTTAGACACGCACACATTACACTTAGACTCACATCACACTGAGATACACACGCACAGACATTACACTTAGACACGCACACATTACACTTAGACACGCACACATTACACTTAGACACACATCACACTGAGATACACACGCACAGACATTACACTTAGACACGCACACATTACACTTAGACACACACACATTACACTTAGACACACATCACACTGAGATACACACGCATAGACATTAAACTTAGACACGCACAGACATAACACTTAGACACACATCACACTGAGATACACACGCACAGACATTACACTTAGACACGCACATATTACACTTAGACACACATCACACTGAAATACACACGCACAGACATTACACTTAGACACGCACACATTACACTTAGACACACATCACACTGAGATACACACACATAGACATTAAACTTAGACACACACACATTACACTTAGACACACATCACACTGAGATACACACGCACAGACATTACACTTAGACACGCACAGACATTACACTTAGACACACATCACACTGAGATACACACGCACAGACATTACACTTAGACACACATCACACTGAGATGCACACGCACAGACATTACACTTAGACACGCGCACAAAGATTACATACAGAGATACACATGGTCATAGAGATACACACACACACTACACGTAGAAATACACACACACACATAGATACACACACACACATAGATACACACACACACACATAGATACACACACACAGAAACACACACACACACACATAGATACACACACACACACACATAGATACACACAGATATATAGCGGCTACGGCTGGGACAAGCGGCGGTTCGGGGGAGCACCATATCTTCCCGTGGCCACGGAGACAAGATACGTACACGCGGCACGCACGCATGGAGAGAGGGGTGGCCATCGGTGATGACGGGGGGGCCGAGATGAGATGAAGGGTGCCACGGTGGCTAAAAAATGTTAACTCCCTCGCCTGGTGTACAGGAGGTCGTGGGTTCGATCCTGACCCTGACGCCTGCTGCTGTATATTTGGAGTTTGCGTGTCTCTCTCTCATCATCATCACGGTGGCTATGAGATGTTAACTACCTCGCCTGGTGTACAGGAGGTCGTGGGTTCGATCCTGACCCTGACGCTTGCTGCTGTATATTTGGAGTTTGCGTGTCTCTCTCTCTCTCTCTCCCCGTGGTCGTGTGGATTTTACTCCTCCGGTTTTTCCCTCCACATTTAGAATTTATGTCACGCGTTCAGAGTATTTGTCTGCAGCTAGAAATTTAAGCCACTTCGCTGATCTATCATTTGTAATAGCCAAAAAAAAAATACATTTTTGAAAGCGGCCCTCGCGCTGCGCGGTCACCTGCTCGGCTTCCCGGCCGCTCTCGTCGCGAAGTCTCCGGTTCTCCTTCTCCGCCAAGTCCAGCTTCACCTTGAACTCGTCGGCCTCCACGCGAGTCTTGGTGACCTGGGGACCGACGACGAGGTGGGGGGCGGGGGGGGGGGGGCGCACGCACGACGTGGTGTGCTCGTCACACGCAAGGCGCTTTTGCCACAAATGGAACCGCGGGAGCTCGCCGATCTCCATCGAGGAGCGTAAAAAGTCACCGCGCAGACTCCGGTCGTCCCTCGCGGCGGCGGGCAGCGGCGGCGGCTTTTGGCCGGCCGTCGAACAAAGAGGGTCGCGGCTTCGTCGCGCTTTCAGATGCGCTTCCGCGGCCGTCTGGAACGCTCTCCCTTCCCATATCAGGAAGCCACTGGAGCCATGCACTTTTAAATCATCCGGCACCTCCGATAAGCATGGTTGGCTACACACGGTTCAAAATACATAGAGACCTATAAACTCACCACACAGAGACCCATGGACTCACACATTGCATCGCGTTCTTTCCGATGTGATTCTGTGGCCGTCTGGAATGCTCTCCATTTCGATATCAAGAAACCACTGGAGCTATACGCTGGACTGAAAACTAATTTCTTTAGAACTGCTTTTTGTCTTTAGTTTGTTGTCCTTCCCCCACACTTCCGACTAGCGTGGTTGGCTACGTAGTGTGTGAAAGAAATTCAACGTACTTAGAGCACTGCATGTCCAGACTTCCGCTCGCGCCACCACTCGGCAGTGTCCCGAAGCTCCCGTAAACAACAAACCTACGATAATAATAAAATAAAATAATAAAATTCTCATGACGTTTCGGCCACAACACAAGTAGCCTTCTTCAGGTGAAAGAACAGAACTGTCGGGCTACCTGTGTTGTGGTCGAAACGTCGTGAGAATTTTATTGTCTCATTTTATTTTATTATTTTATTCTCATTCTACGTGGTGACTTTACCGAAAGAACCAAAGACGATGAATCCTTGCAGTCACGAAAGCTTTAAATCGAAATTTAAACCTACGATAAGTGCACGGCAAGATGCCGGACGGCTGTCGGAATTTTTCCGGATACGTGACGGAAGGATTGCTTTGCCATCGATGACAGATGCCGGCGAATAGAGTGCCGGATAACAACCATCATCAAAATATTCAATCATCCTCACCACCGCCGGCCCCACCGCTACCATCACCACATGGTTCGGGATGCCAGGAGGGAGCCGTGCAAGGCCACGCTCGCGCGCTGGCTCGGCTCGCCGGCTCGGCTCGCTGGCTCAGCACGTTGGGTTCAGCGTGTTGGGCTCAGCACGTTGGGCTCAGTGTGTTGGGCTCAGCACGTTGGGCTCAGTGCGTTGGGCTCAGCACGTTGGGCTCAGCGCGTTGGGCTCAGCGCGTTGGGCTCAGCGCGTTGGGCTCAGCCCGTTGGGCTCAGCACGTTGGGTTCAGTGCGTTGGGCTCAGCGCGTTGGGCTCAGTGCGTTGGGCTCAGCACGTTGGGCTCAGCACGTTGGGTTCAGTGCGTTGGGCTCAGCACGTTGGGCTCAGCACGTTGGGCTCAGCACGTTGGGTTCAGTGCGTTGGGCTCAGCACGTTGGGCTCAGTGCGTTGGGCTCAGTGCGTTGGGCTCAGCACGTTGGGCTCAGCACGTTGGGTTCAGTGCGTTGGGTTCAGTGCGTTGGGCTCAGTGCGTTGGGCTCAGCACGTTGGGCTCAGCACGTTGGGCTCAGCACGTTGGGCTCAGCACGTTGGGTTCAGTGCGTTGGGCTCAGTGCGTTGGGCTCAGTGCGTTGGGCTCAGCACGTTGGGCTCAGCACGTTGGGCTCAGCACGTTGGGTTCAGTGCGTTGGGCTCAGTGCGTTGGGCTCAGCACGTTGGGCTCAGCACGTTGGGCTCAGCGTGTTGGGCTCAGCGCGCTGCCACGGGAGACTCCCTCACCTGGGTCTTATATCCATCCACCAGGCCCTCGTACTGCTTCATGGTGGCCGTCAGCTGCTGCACCTCCGACTCGGCAAAGTGGAGCTTCTCCTCCACAGCTGAGAGGCCCGCCTTCGGTGACACGCGGGGGGGGACAAGCGGGGACACGCGGGGACACGCAGTGAGACATGGTGACATGAAGCACGGGGATGCATGGCGAGGCAAGGTGAGACGAGATCACCAGATTGTTTAGAGATCAGAGAGGCTGAGTAGGCATCTGCCGAGATCCTGGGTTCAAGTCCGGGTTTCACACCCCCATGACGGTGAACACGGCACCTCAAGGGCAGCGCGTTGTGGTTGTTGTTGTTTGACTTGCATCCCACTGGGATGTTTGCACACAGCGTTGGTGGTACGGTGCTTTGGTACGGTGCTTTTTCTGGAAGATTTTTGCAGTTTTTTCCCTGGATTTTTCTGTTTGCGCATAGTCACTTTAAGATGTTTTCTTGTTCGCGTTTTTGTTTTTCGTTTGTTGCCGTTGCACCCGATTCAAGAGCCGAATGGCTCACAGGGCTATACCAAAATAAATGAAACTGAAAAAAAACTGATGGTGAAGGAGAGGGTGGGGGGGACCCGGGCCCCATGACCGCTTCAGCTATCACTCACGACCGATGACAGCCCCCGGGCATTGCGCTAAACCACAAGTCACCGCATTCTCACCCCGCGATTCGATCGCCCCATCCCCGCGATCCGTCTCGCTCGGCCCGCTTCGCTCGCATTCACACGACACTCGCCGATTCCCTACTTCCATAAGCCTCGTCGTCTCAGCTGAACCTCCTCTGACCCTCTGAACCCTCGACCCTCCCCCCCGCCCACCACCCCATCCCTGGCCGGCCGTGTGGGGTGGGCGACCTTGAGGCGCTCCCCGTGGAGCCGGGCGCTGGCGACGTCGCCGTTGGCTCGGTGGAGCCGCTCGACGCTCGCCTCCCGCTCGGCCCGCGCTCGCTCCTCGGCCGCCCGGGCCTGCCGCTCCGCGTCCAGCACTCGCCTGCAGCGTGCAGGGGCGCGCAGACGCACACACACACACACACCAGCATCGCTCATTCGGTTTGACGGCATTGAACCACGACGCCTCCTCTGCACTCGCACGTCGTTGCCTTCCCTCCCGCGAACGTCGCTCGTTCATTCAGTCCTCCTCCACCACCCCATGCTGAGGACTCCTCTCGTGCGGTGTGCAAGCCACCACGCTTGCAGGTCACAACGGAGACAAAGATCCCGCCTATAGCCTGCAACAGACCGTAGGGCAAGTGCTGTTAGCGAGCAGCACCTGTGAGGGCCGCCATGACACTCCAGGGGGTGGGCGGCCAACAACACGCCCGGCCGCCTTTGTCTCCCCAGTGGCGATGTTTACACACCGCACCAGGTGCTCATTTTAGGCTGAGTCGACCTAGGAGAGGCCCAGGGCCGGTTCAGATAACCGTCACTGGGTTCGTAGCGCAGCGCGCTAACCGCTGCACTACCGCTCCCCGCTACACACAGTGACACACACAGTCACGCTAAGTGACATACACAGTGACACATACAGTTAGACGGTGACAACAACAGCCATTCGCCACTAAGTGACGGTGACATCACACCGCACCAGGTACTCGTTTGAGGCGCCCCCCCTATCTCCATGCAGGCCACCTCTCCCTCCTCGTCCCCCCCCTTCCTCATTCTCCCCCCCCACCCTCGTCGCCCCCCCCTTCACCCCCACTCATGCCCCCCCCCTTCACCCCCCCCGCCCCCCCCCCCCCCCCGTCATCCCCGTGCGGGCCGCCCCGTCCATTTCCCTGCAACGCGCCGACACCCGAGCCGTGGTGCGGGTGGGATGACGACAGCCGGGACGACGCCGGCCCCCGTGATTGCGATGGCAAACACCGTGTGGGGGGGGGGCACAAAGAAACCACGGCGGCAGTGGAAGTGGCGACGCGGGCTGGGTGACGGTGGGGGGGGGGGGTGATGGTGGGGGGGGGGGGCGACAGCCCAACACCCCCCCCCCTCCCCCCCCCCGGCTGCATGCACCGCCACCGGACGCTGAACAAACAGCGGCAGCTGGGCAGCGCGACGCCCTCTGGGTTCGTCTTACACGGCGGCGGCGGCGGCGGGGCCATCACCTGCGGGCGCAAACCCCGCCCGCACGTGCCCCTCGCCGCCATTGGTTGGCACCGTGCCGTCAGCCCCGGGGGGCCCGCCAGCCCCACTAAGCTCTCCCACGGTTTGTGTACGACGGTGCGGGTTTACGCGGTTGTGTCACCTGTTGTTGTTGTTGTGTACGACTGAGTGGGTTTACACCGTTGTGCCGCCTGTTGTTGTTGTTTACGACGGTGCGGGTTTACACGGTTGTGTCACCTGTTGTTGTTGTTGTGTACGACTAAGTGGGTTTACACGGTTGTGTCACCTGTTGTTGTTGTTGTTGTTGTGTACAACGGTGCGGGTTTATGCGGTTGTGTCACCTGTTGTTGTTGTTGTTGTGTACGACGGTGCGGGTTTATGCGGTTGTGTCACCTGTTGTTGTTGTTGTGTACGACTGAGTGGGTTTACGCGGTTGTGTCACCTGTTGTTGTTGTTGTTGTGTACGACAGTGCGGGTTTATGCGGTTGTGTCACCTGTTGTTGTTGTTGTGTACGACTGAGTGGGTTTACACGGTTGTGCCGCCTGTTGTTGTTGTTGTGTACGACGGTGCGGGTTTATGCGGTTGTGTCGCCTGTTGTTGTTGTTGTGTACGACTGAGTGGATTTACGCGGTCATGCTGCTATAGTGTCTCTCTCTCCGCCTGCGTCTATGGAGAGACAGAGACAGAGAGAGCGGGGAGCGGCCCCAGGCACTCACTCGCCGAGCGTCGCCACCTCCATCTCCAGCTGCGACTTCTCCTTGGAGAGCTTCCCGTTGCGCGACCGCCACGCCTCCGCAGACGCCAGCGCGTTCGCCAGCTGCGCCTCCTGCTCCAAAACCCCGCACACACACACACACACGCACACACACACACACACACGCACACACACACACGCACACACACGCACGCACACACGCACACGCACACACGCACACGCACACACACACACGCACACACACACACACACACCGCACACACACACACGCACACACACACACGCACACACACACACGCACACACACACACGCACACACGCACACACGCACACACACACACACGCACACACACACACACGCATGCACACACATGCACACACACGCACACACACACACACACGCACACACACACGCACACACACACTCACACTCACGCACACACACACACGCACACACACACACACGCACGCACACACACGCACGCACACACACGCACGCACACACACGCACACACACATCGTGCATAGCCTTTAATCCTTTGCCGTGTTTCGGGACAACCGCAGGGTGTAGGTTGGGCCCCGTTACACCGCCGAAACGCGGCGTTCATTTTGTTCGGTGAGGAGGAGTAGTAGCAGCGCCGCTGTTTTTAAAAACGTCGTTACTCGCCGTGGAGAACCGCAGCGACACGACCGCCGCCACTCTACGATAGCTGGCAGCCAAACTGTGCCACACGCCCTCCCGCATGGCCTTGTGGGAGCCTCGGTATAGACACATTCATTTTATTTAAGTTTTTCTTCCGTGGCGAGTGCTGTTGGCAAGCCAGCACCTACGAAGGCCGGCACGGCGCACCTATGAGGGGGTGGGTGGCCAGCACCACGCCCGGCCACCTTTGTCTCCCCCGGTGCAGACGTTGAAGGAGGCTGTGTGAGAGTCATTGTATATGCGACTCCGTCTGCGCGAGCCTGTGTATGTGCGAGTCTGTCGCTCCTCGTGTCTTTCCGTCCTGTGGGATTCTGTCCCTGTGTGCGTGTTTGTGTCTCTCTCTCTCTCTCATTTTTCTCTCTTTCTGTGAGCCACCTCTGGCGAGATCGGTGCCTTGTCCAGGAGCTCCACTGGCAGCTGCTGCACCGTGTGCGAGTCTGTTTGTATCTTCGAGTCTCTCGGAATCCATCTCTGTGCGTGTCTGTCTGTGTATCTCTGTGCGTGTTTCTCTGTAGGTGCCTATATGTGTCTCTCTGTGTCTCTCTCTGTGCGTCTCTCTCTGTGTCTCTCTCTGTTGCTCTCTCTCTGTGTGTCGCTCTCTCTGTGTGTCGCTCTCTGTGTGTCTCTCTCTGTTGCTCTCTCTCTGTTGCTCTCTCTCTGTGTGTTGCTCTCTCTCTGTGTGTCGCTCTCTCTGTGTGTCTCTCTCTGTTGCTCTCTCTCTCTTGCTCTCTCTCTCTGTGTGTCGCTCTCTCTGTGTGTCTCTCTCTCTGTGTGTCTCTCTCTGTGCTCTCTCTCTGTTGCTCTCTCTCTCTCTGTGTGTCGCTCTCTCTGTGTGTCGCTCTCTCTGTGTGTCTCTCTCTCTGTGTGTCTCTCTCTCGTTGCCTTGTCCAGGAGCTCCGCGTGCAGCTGCTGCGCCGCGTCCTCCCCGCGCTGCGCCCGTGTCTTCAGCGCCCGCGTCGCCTTCTTCAGCGCCTCCTTGTCAGTCTCCCCTCGCTCGCGAGCCCGAGCCACCTCCTCCGCCAGCGCCTCCGCCTCCAGCCTCTGCTGCTCCAGCGCTCGCTCCAGCCCCTGCGCCGGGCAAAGGGTCCCCCGTGTCACCTCCCGCCCTCCCCGTGTAGCCTTAACGGACTGTTTGGGGCGAGTGCTGGTAGCGAGCAGCGCTTACGAAGGCCGGCACGGCACACGAGGGGGTGGGCGGCCAGCACCACGCACGGCCGCCTTTGCCTCCCCAGTGGCGATGTTTACATGTGCACGCACGCACGCACGCACACCCGCACACACGCGCACACGCACACCCGCGCACACCCGCGCACACCCGCGCACACCCGCGCACACGCACACCCGCGCACACCCGCGCACACCCGCGCACACCCGTATTTGCGTGGCGGCCCGGTCGTTGTCGGCCTCCTTGCTGCGCAACTGTCCCTGGAGGTGAGCGCGCGTCACCTCCAGGCCCTTAGACGCGTCGGTGGCCGAGCGAGCTGAGTCCTGGCAACAACAACAACAACACAATTAGCACGGTTGGCTACGTACAGTGCAAAATAATTTCTGCATACATACAGACTGCCCATAGACTAACACTGCCCATAGACTAACGCTGCCCATAGACTAACGCTGCCCATAGACTAACACTGCCCATAGACTAACGCTGCCCATAGACTAACACTGCCCATAGACTAACGCTGCCCATAGACTAACACTGCCCATAGACTAACGCTGCCCATAGACTAACGCTGCCCATAGACTCAACACTGCCCATAGACTCAACACTGCCCATAGACTAACACTGCCCATAGACTAACACTGCCCATAGACTAACGCTGCCCATAGACTAACGCTGCCCATAGACGCAACACTGCCCATAGACTAACACTACCCATAGACTCAACACTGCCCATAGACTCAACACTGCCCATAGACTAACACTACCCATAGACTCAACACTGCCCATAGACTCAACACTGCCCATAGACTCAACACTGCCCATAGACTCAACACTGCCCATAGACTCAACACTGCCCATAGCCACCACGGCGTGCCATTATGAACGCAAGGCAGAGGACGAGGTCCCCGAGGATGAAACAACATTTCCTTGGTAGCCGGTGACCGACCGCACCGCGTCTCATTAAACCAGAGCCCGGCAAAGACCCAGATTAGGCACACGGCACCCCCTGCTCAGTCACTCGCTCTGTGTGGGGAGCGGCGTCGGGTGACAGACAGACGGCCTCCGTTTAATCTCGCCGACAAGTCGCTGCAAGCTACGGGCGTGATCATTATTAGTCGAATTGATGGTCTAAGTTCAGCCATCAATGATTTACGCAGAGACCCACAGACTCGCACAGAGACCCGTAGACTCTCACAGAGACCCGTAGACTCTCACAGAGACCCGTAGACTCTCACAGAGACCCGTAGACTCTCACAGAGACCCGTAGACTCTCACAGAGACCCGTAGACTCTCACAGAGACCCGTAGACTCGCACAGAGAACCGTAGACTCTGAGACCCGAAGACTCTCACAGAGACCCGTACTCTCACAGAGACCCGTAGACTCTCACAGAGACCGTAGACTCGCACAGAGACCCGTAGACTCGCACAGAGACCCGTAGACTCTCACAGAGACCCGTAGACTCGCACAGAGACCCGTAGACTCGCACAGAGACCCGTAGACTCTCACAGAGACCCGTAGACTCGTACAGAGACCCGTAGACTCTCACAGAGAACCGTAGGCTCACCCACACACACCTTCTCCAGCTGCAGCTGCACAGCTGCTTGGCTCAGCTCCTTCTCCAGCTCCTGCAGTCGCGTGGCGAGGCGCTGAGATCCAGCCACGCGGACAGACACGCCGACGGGTGGACACAGATACATAGCCGGATTGAAAAACACAAGGAAAAGCAGACAAACACGTGGACGGATGGACAGACAGGCAGACACATAGACTAACTGACAGACACAAGGACATAAACAAAGACAAAGATCCCCCGTATAGCCTGGACAGACTGTGCTGTTAGCGAGCAGCACCTATGAAGGCCAGAACGGTACACGAGGGGGTGGGTGGCCAGCACCACGCCCGGCCGCCTTTGTCTCCCCAGTGGCGATGTTTACACACCGCACCAGGCACTCATTTGAGGCTGAGCCGACCTAGGGAAGACCCAGGACCGGTTAAGATAATCGCCACCGATGTTGGCCGTGAGCGGGAATCGAACTTGGGTCGCCAGGTTCGTAGCGCAGCGTAGCGCTAACCGCCACGCTACCGCTCCCCCCAGACAGACACACAGACACACACAGACACACACAAACACACACAGACACACACAGACGTACACAGACGTACACAGATGTACACGTTGTCTAAACACGTTTGTTCACGTGCTCCCGGTGCTTTGCTCACCGCGTTGTCGGCCTCGGCCAGGGTGAGCTTACGCAGCAGAAGGTCGCGCTGCTCCATCACCTGCATCACGTCCAGCTGCAAAAAAGACGACAGGCTGTTGGGGGCGAGCGCTGCGAGCGAGTAGCACCCACGACGGTGGGTGGCCAGCACCACGCCAGACCGCCTTTGTCTCCCCAGTGCTGACGTTTACAACAAGCCGCACCGGCTACTCGTCTGTAGGCCGACTCGACTTGAGGGAGGCCCAGGATCGGTTCCGATAATCGCCACTGGTGTCGGGGGCCGTGAGCGGTAATTGAACTTAGCGCTTCGCCGCCACTCCCCGTCTCACCCCTATGCGCCTCACCCCGCGTCTCACCCCGTGTCTCACCCCCACGTCTCACCCCTTGTCTCACCTTCGCGTCTCACCCCCACGGCTCACCCATTGTCTCACCCTGTGTCTCACCCTACCATCTCACCCGACATATCACCCCCACGTCTCACCCCCACGTCTCACCCCGTGTCTCACCCCGTGTCCCACCCCGTGTCTCACCCTACCATCTCACCCCACGTCTCACCCCCACGTCTCACCCCCACGTCTCACCCCGTGTCTCACCCCCACGTCTCACCCCGCGTCTCACCCCGCGTCTCACCCTGTGTCTCACCCCCACGTCTCACCCCACGTCTCACCCCGTGTCTCACCCCGCGTCTCACCTGTGTCTCACCCCGCGTCTCACCCTGTGTCTCACCCCCACGTCTCACCCCCACGTCTCACCCCCACTTCTCACCCCCGTGTCTCACCTCCGCGTCTCACCTCACGTCTCACCTCACGTCTCACCCTACCGTCTCACCCCCACGTCTCTCCCCCGCACGTCTCACCCCCGCCCCCCCCCCGGCCCTCACCACCTCCCATCTCACCCCGTGTGAGTGTGTGTGTCTCTCACCCCGTGTGAATGTGTGTGTCTCTCACCCCGTGTGAGTGTGTGTGTCTCTCACCCCGTGTGAGTGTGTGTGTCTCACCCCACGTCTCTCACCCCGTGTGAGTGTTCGCGTCTCTCACCCCACGTCTTTCACCCCGTGTGAGTTGTGCGCGTCTCTCACCCCGTGTGAGTGTCTCTCACCCCGTGTGAGTGTGTGTGCGTCTCTCACCCCGTGTGAGTGTGCGTGTGTCTCTCACCCCGTGTGAGTGTGTGTGTGTCTCTCACCCCGTGTGAGTGTGAACGTCTCTCACCCCGTGTGAGTGTGTGTGCGTCTCTCACCCCGTGTGAGTGTGTTGTGCGTCTCTCACCCCGTGTGAGTGTGTGTGTGTCTCTCACCACGTGTGAGTGTGTGTGCGTCTCTCACCCCGTGTGAGTGTGTGTGCGTCTCTCACCCCGTGTGAGTGTGCGCGTCTCTCACCCCGTGTGAGTGTTGTGTGTATCTCTCACCACGTGTGAGTGTGCGCGTCTCTCACCCCGTGTGAGTGTGTGTCTCTCACCCCGTGTGAGTGTGTGTCTCTCACCCCGTGTGAGTGTGTGTCTCTCACCCCGTGTGAGTGTGTGTCTCTCACCCCGTGTGAGTGTGTGTGTCTCTCACCCCGTGTGAGTGTGTGTGTCTCTCACCCCGTGTGAGTGTGTGTGCGTCTCTCACCCCGTGTGAGTGTGTGTCTCTCACCCCGTGTGAGTGTGTGTCTCTCACCCCGTGTGAGTGTGTGTGTCTCTCACCCCGTGTGAGTGTGTGTGTCTCTCACCCCGTGTGAGTGTGCGCGTCTCTCACCCCACGTCTCTCACCCCGTGTGAGTGTTCGCGTCTCTCACCCCACGTCTTTCACCCCGTGTGAGTGTGCGCGTCTCTCACCCCGTGTGAGTGTGTGTGTCTCTCACCCCGTGTGAGTGTGTGTGCGTCTCTCACCCCGTGTGAGTGTGCGTGTGTCTCTCACCCCGTGTGAGTGTGTGTGTGTCTCTCACCCCGTGTGAGTGTGTGTGTGTCTCTCACCACGTGAGAGTGTGTGTGCGTCTCTCACCCCGTGTGAGTGTGCGCGTCTCTCACCCCGTGTGAGTGTGTGTGTATCTCTCACCACGTGCGAGTGTGCGCGTTTCTCACCCGTGTGAGTGTGTGTGTCCTCTCACCCCGTGTGAGTGTGTGTGCGTCTCTCACCCCGTGTGAGTGTGTGGTGTGTGTCTCTCACCCCGTGTGAGTGTCTCTCACCCCGTGTGCGTGTGTGTGCGTCTCTCACCCCGTGTGAGTAGTGTGTGTCTCTCACCCCGTGTGAGTGTGTATCTCTCACCCCGTGTGAGTGTGTGTGTCTCTCACCCCGTGTGAGGTGTGTGTGTCTCTCACCCGTGTGAGTGTGTCTGTGTCTCTCACCCCGTGTGAGTGTGTGTGTGTCTCTCACCCCGTGTGAGTGTGTGTGTGTCTCTCACCCCGTGTGAGTGTGTGTGTGTCTCTCACCCCGTATGAGTGTGTGTGCGTCTCTCACCCCGTGTGAGTGTGTGTGCGTCTCTCACCCCGTGTGAGTGTGTGTGTCTCTCACCCCGTGTGAGTGTGTGTGTGTGTCTCACCCCGTGTGAGTGTGTGCATCTCTCACCCCGTGTGAGTGTGTGTGTCTCTCACCCCGTGTGAGTGTGTGTGTGTCTCTCACCCCGTGTGAGTGTGTGCGTCTCTCACCCCGTGTGAGTGTGTGTGTCTCTCACCCCACGTCTCTCACCCCGTGTGAGTGTGTGGGGTCTCTCACCCCGTGTGAGTGTGCGCGTCTCTCACCCCACGTCTCTCACCCCGTGTGAGTGTTCGCGTCTCTCACCCCATGTCTTTCACCCCGTGTGAGTGTGTCTCTCACCCCGTTTGCCGTTTGAGTGTGTGTGTCTCTCACCCCGTGTGAGTGTGTGTGTGTCTCTCACCCCGTGTGAGTGTGTGTGTCTCTCACCCCGTGTGAGTGTGTGTGTGTGTGCGTCTCTCACCCCGTGTGAGTGTGTGTGTCTCTCACCCCGTGTGAGTGTGTGTGTCTCTCACCCCGTGTGAGTGTGTGTGCGTCTCTCACCCCGTGTGAGTGTGTGTGTCTCTCACCCCGTGTGAGTGTGTGTGTCTCTCACCCCGTGTGAGTGTGTCTCTCACCCCGTGTGAGTGTGTGTGTGTTTCTCACCCCGTGTGAGTGTGTGTGTCTCTCACCCCGTGTGAGTGTGTGTCTCTCACCACGTGTGAGTGTGTGTGTGTCTCTCACTCCGTGTGAGTGTGTGTGTGTCTCTCACTCCGTGTGAGTGTGTGTGTCTCTCACCCCGTGTGAGTGTGTGTGTGTCTCTCACCCCGTGTGAGTGTGTGTGTCTCTCACCCCGTGTGAGTATGTGTGTGTGTCTCTCACCCCGTGTGAGTGTGTGTGCGTCTCTCACCACGTGTGAGTGTGTGTGCGTCTCTTACCCCGTGTGAGTGTGTGCGTCTCTTACCCCGTGTGAGTGTGTGTGTGTCTCTCACCCCGTGCGAGTGTGTGCGTCTCTCACCCCGTGTGAGTGTGTGTGAGTGTGTGTCTCTCACCCGTGTGAGTGTGTGTGTCTCTCACCCCGTGTGAGTGTGTGTGTGTCTCTCACCCCGTGTGAGTGTGTGTCTCTCACTCCGTGTGAGTGTGTGTGACTCTCACCCCGTGTGAGTGTGTGCGTCTCTCACCCCGTGTGAGTGTGTGTCTCTCACCCCGTGTGAGTGTGTGTCTCTCACCCCGTGTAAGTGTGTGTGTCTCTCACCCCGTGTGTGAGTGTGTGTGTGTCTCTCACCCCGTGTAAGTGTGTGTGTGTCTCTCACCCCGTGTGAGTGTGTGTGCATCTCTCACCCCGTGTGAGTGTGTGTGTGTCTCTCACTCCGTGTGAGTGTGTGTCTCTCACCCCGTGTGAGTGTGTGTGCATCTCTCACCCCGTGTGAGTGTGTGTGTGTCTCTCACACCGTGTGAGTGTGTGTCTCTCACCCCGTGTGAGTGTGTGTGTGTCTCTCACCCCGTGTGAGTGTGTGTGTGTCTCTCACCCCGTGTGAGTGTGTGTGCATCTCTCACCCCGTGTGAGTGTGGTGTGTGTCTCTCACTCCGTGTGAGTGTGTGTCTCTCACCCGTGTGAGTGTGTGTCTCTCACCCCGTGTGAGTGTGTGTATCTCTCACCCTGTGTGAGTGTGTGTGTCTCTCACTTCGTGTGAGTGTGTGTGCGTCTCTCACCCCGTGTGAGTGTGTGCGTCTCTCACCCCGTGTGAGTGTGTGTGTGTCTCTCACCCCGTGTGAGTGTGTGTGAGTGTGTGTCTCTCACCCCGTGTGAGTGTGTGTGAGTGTGTGTCTCTCACCCCGTGTGAGTGTGTGTGTGTCTCTCACCCCGTGTGAGTGTGTGTGTGTCTCTCACCCCGTGTGAGTGTGTGCGTCTCTCACCCCGTGTGAGTGTGTGCGTCTCTCACCCCGTGTGACGTGTGAGTGTGTGTGTGTGTCTCTCACCCCGTGTGAGTGTGTGTGTGTCTCTCACCCTGTGTGAGTGTGTGTCTCTCACCCCGTGTGAGTGTGTGCGTCTCTCACCCCGTGTGACGTGTGAGTGTGTGTGTGTCTCTCACCCTGTGTGAGTGTGTGTGAGTGTGTGTGTCTCACCCCGTGTGTGTGTGCGTCTCTCACCCCGCTGGCTTGCTCGTTGCGCAGCAGCCTGCGCAGCGCTCTGTTCGCGACCTCAAACTCCTCCAGCTTCTCCATGAGCAGCTCCTTGTGGCGCGTGATGCGGCTCACGTCCGAGCAGCTCAGAGCCTTCTCCTGCAGCCTCAACAAAGGGGGGGGGGGGGGGGGCGGGAAGGGAGTTTCACGCAACCCAATCTGTGCTGCGATCCACCAACCCCTTGCTGCTGCCTCCACAGCGCCGGATCACAGGCCACGTGCAGGAGCGGCGAAGCCACCACCGCAACCGCTACTACTGCCACCACCGCCGCCGCTACCACTGCCACCACCGCCGCCGCTACCACTGCCACCACCGCTACCACTGCCGCCACCGCTACCACCGCCACCACCCGCCGCCGCCCGGGAATAACGCGAAAACGAAGCGACACGGCGTGGCACGTGGAAGTGGCGTGGCCTTTGATCCGGCACCGTGAAGGCGAGGGGCAGGGTCGGTGGATCGCCACACACAGATGATGATGATGATGTTGTTGTTGTTGTGAAACTCCCTTCTGCCCGTGGGTGGGCTTCGAGGAGCCGTTGCCCCTGGCTCTGCCAGGAGAAGGCGGCGCTCAGCAGAAACGCGCAAAACCACACGACGGTGACGCGGCGGTGACGGTGACGTGGCGGTGATGTGACGTGGCGGTGACATGACCGGTGACGTGGCGGTGACATGACAGTGACGTGGGCGGTGACATGGCGGGTGACGCGGCAGTGACGTGGCAAGTGACGCGGCGGTGACGTGGCGGTGACATGACAGTGACGTGGCGGGGTGACGTGACGTGGCGGGTGACGTGCCGGTGACGTGCCGGTGACGTGGTGGTGACATGACGGTGACGTGACGGTGACGTGGCGGTGACGTGGCGGTGATGACGTGACGTCGCGGTGACGTGACGGGGCGCTGACGTGGCGGTGACACAACGGTGATGCGGCAGCGACGCGACACTGCGCTGCTCACGTGTCTCATGCGTGACACAAAGTCCCGGAGCGCCGCCACCTGCTTGGCCGCCGACGCCCCCACGGCCTCGGCCTCCAGCAGCTGGCCCAGCAGGCGGTCGCGGCCATCGGCGCCGCCTCCAGGCGTGCTGCGCGCCGACGTCAAAGACGCAAACGTCATCGCCACTCGCACCGAATCTCGAAGAACCTCCACAACTGCTCATTGTGTTCACTTTGCCGTCCTTCCCCCGCACGGTTGACTACGTACGGTGAGAGAGGAGATCAACTTACACACACACTGCCCATAGACTCAACACTACCCATAGACTCACACTGTGGTGCTTGAGCGGCCAGGATAGAGTATCGTTTGTGGGAGTGAGAGCGAATGAGTGGATGAGCGAGTGGGTGAGTAAGTTGGTGGCTGGGTGAGTGAATATTTTTTTTTATAATTTTCTTCGTAGTCCACAAGCAAACTGAATATAAACTATTTAAATGTTACCAGGTAAGGCGCATGGAGCTATAACAGCTCTTTTTCAGAGAAGACGGTGGACGACCTGGTCAGAAACGATAGCTCAACGAAGTTGATGATCATCGTGTGGAAATTTATAGCGGCCACATACTCTAAACGCGTGTTTCTAAATGTGGAGGGAAAAACCGGAGGACCCGGAGAAGAATCCACGCGACCACGGGAAGCGAAAGCACGCCAACTCCAAATACACAGGAGGCATCGCCCGGGTCGGGATCAAACCCACGACCTCATGTACACCAGGCGAGGGAGTCAACACCTTTGCCACCATGGTGCCCATAAGTGCCCAGTGTGCCCACCCCTCCCCCATATATCCCCGCCGTCCACCCTACCCCCCCGTGCCTCCCCACCGGTTCCCTGCTCACCGCGCCGAGTCCCCGTTGGGCGCGGCGCGCATCTCGAGGCTGCGTCGTCTCAGCCCCTCGTTCTCGTGGGGCGAGAGGTCGACGTCCCCCGGGCAGGGGGCCGCGGCCGCCCCCCCGGCGCGGCGGCGCTGCCGCCCACGCGGCCCCCTCGCTCGCCGCCCGCTCCCGAGCGCGGTCCCGCCGCTCCTGGTCCACCTGGCGCACGGAGGGACGCGGGGCGGAGGGGGACACGAGAACGGAGAGGCGGGGGGTGTGGAGACGGTTCAACCAACGGTTGTGGGTCTACTTATCCCATTGTCCCTTCGGGGCGACTAAGATTGGTACAACTTTGCACATTTGTCTTTTGGACACGGGTGGAGATAAATGGGGCATGGAGAGCACACGGGGCGTGGTTAAAGAGATTGGGCACAGCGGAAGCACACACGGAATGGTTACGGGACCGAGTGTTGTGGCATGGACTCAGAGTCGTGACCCAGCCAGTGTTGTGGCATGGACTCAGCGTCGTGACCCAGCCAGTGTTGTGGCACGGACTTAGTGTCGTCACCCAGTCAGTGTTTGTGGCATGGACTCAGCGTGGTCAACCCAGCCAGTGTTGTGGCGTGGACTTAGCGTCGTGACCCAGCCAGTGTTGTGGCATGGACTTAGCATCGTGACCCAGCCAGGTTGTGGCACGGACTCAGCGTCATGACCCCAGCCAGTGTTGTGGCACGGACTCAGAGTCGTCACCCAGCCAGTGTTTGTGGCACGGACTCAGCGTGGTCACCCAGCCAGTGTTGTGGTATGGACTCAGCGTGGTCACCCAGCCAGTGTTGTGGCTGGGACTCAGCGTCGTGACCCAGCCAGTGTTGTGGCTGGGACTCAGCGTCGTGACCCAGTCAGTGTTGTGGCGTGGACTTAGCGTCGTGACCCAGTCAGTGTTGTGGCCGGGGCCTCCGTTGCGCCGGTCACCTGGGCCTGCAGAGAGCTGACCTGCGCCAGCAGTCCGTCCACCGTCTTCTCAAACGCCGTCGCGGCCTCCCCATCCCCCTCCGCCCCCTCCTCCCCCCGGGGGCACCGTCCGCAACGTCCGTGGTGGTGAGGTCGCTCACGTGCAGGCCGTGGCCGCGTGCCGCCCGCTGTCGGCGCCTCCGCGGGGGAGAGATCTCCAGACGGTGCGTGGGGCCCTGAGGCGAAGCGCCGAGGGACAGATTTGCGGGTCGAGCTGGTGTTAAATCAACATCTCGCCGCAGTGGCTAGGAGATGTTAACTACCTCGCCTGGTATACAGGAGGTCGTGGGTTCGATCCTGACCCTGACGCCTACTGTATATTTGGAGTTTGCGTGTCTCGCTCCCGTGGTGAGATGTAATTACTTCGCCTGTTATACAGAAGGTCGTGGGTTCAATCCTGACCCCTGACACCTGGTGTATATTTGGAGGTTGCCTGTCTCTTCGCCCCGTGGTGAAATGTTAGCTACCTCGCCTGGTATAAAAAGAGGTCGTGGGTTCAATTCCTGACCCTGACGCCTGATGTATATTTGGAGTTTGCATGTCTCACTCCCCGTGGTCGCGTGCATTTTTCACCGCGTCAACGTGACTTTACCGAAAAAACCAAAGAGTAAACCAAACTAATTTTTATTTTACCAGCAAGACCCACTGAGCTGCATAGCTCTTTTTTGAAGTGACCTGGCCACAAATGATAGCTCAAAGAAGTGGCTTATCATGTGGAAATGTATAGCAGCCAAATACTCAAATCGCACGTTGATTAAAAACATGTACATACCTATGTATGTTGAACTTCTTTCACACCGTATGTAGCCAACCGTGCTAATCGGAGGTGCAGTGTTGAGTCTATGGGTAGTGTTAGCCTATGTGCAGTGTGAGCCTGTGGGCAGTGTTGAATCTGTGGGTAGGTTTAGTCGATGGACAGCTGTATGTACGTTGAACTTCTTTCGCACCGTACGTGGCCAACCATGCTAATCGGAGGTATGGGAGACTCACCTCCCAGGCGTACGTCTTGTCCCGCACGGAGGTTTTTCCGGGTGGAATCCACGGCCCGCGGCTCCGTCCTCGCGGCGTCGACCGTGCGCTCGCCCCGCTCGCCCCCCCACGGTTCGTCCCTGCCATCGAGCAGCAATCGCGCAACAACAACAGCCGATACAGTAACTCGATGACAACAACACCACGAAAAAACGTGAGCCCGTAACAACAACACAACAAGCACGGCACATTACACGCAAATAAAAAAAAACGGCGTGACAATAGCACGGTTGGCTACGTACGGTGCGAATATAGTTCAACATACACACATACAGTGAGAGAAAAAAGTATTTGATCCCCTGCTGATTTTGTACGTTTTGCCCCACTGACAAAGAATTATTAGTCTATAATTTTAATGGTAGGTTTATTTGAAGTGAGAGACAGAATAACAACAAAAATCCAGAAAAACGCATGTCAAAAATGTTATAAATTGATTTGCATTTTAATAAGGGAAAAATTATTTGACCCCCTCTCAATCAGAAAGATTTCTGGCTCCCAGGTGTCTTTTATATAGGTAACGAGCTGAGATTAGGAGCACACTCTTAAAGAGGAGCACACTCTTAAAGAGAGTGCTCCTAATCTCAGCTCGTTACCTGTATAAAAGACACCTGTCCACAGAAGCAATCAATCAATCAGATTCCAAACTCTCCACCATGGCCAAGACCAAAGAGCTCTCCAAGGATGTCAGGGACAAGATTGTAGACCTACACAAGGCTGGAATGGGCTACAAGACCATTGCCAAGCAGCTTGGTGAGAAGGTGACAACAGTTGGTGCGATTATTTGCAAATGGAAGAAACACAAAAGAACTGTCAATCTCCATCGGCCTGGGGCTCTATGCAAGATCTCACCTCGTGGAGTTGCAATGATCATGAGAACGGAGAGGAATCAGCCCAGAACTACACGGGAGGATCTTGTCAATGATCTCAAGGCAGCTGGGACCATAGTCACCAAGAAAACAATTGGTAACACACTACCCTGTGAAGGACTGAAATCCTGCAGCGCCCGCAAGGTCCCCCTGCTCCATAAAGCACATATACATGCCCGTCTGAAGTTTGCCAATGAACATTTGAATGATTTAGAGGACAACTGGGTGAAAGTGTTGTGGTCAGATGAGACTAAAATGAGGCTCTTTGGCATCAACTCAACTCGCCGTGTTTGGAGGAGGAGGAATGCTGCCTATGACCCCAAAAACACCATCCCCACCGTCAAACATGGAGGTGGAAACATTATGCTTTGGGGGTGTTTTTTAAGGGGACAGGACAACTTCACCGCATCAAAGGGACGATGGACGGGGCCATGTACCGTCAAATCTTGGGTGAGAACCTCCTTCCTCAGCCAGGGCATTGAAAATGGGTCGTGGATGGTATTCCAGCATGACAATGACCCAAAACACACGGCCAAGGCAACAAAGGAGTGGCTCAAGAAGAAGCACCTTAAGGTCCTGGAGTGGCCTAGCCAGTCTCCAGACCTTAATCCCATCGAAATCTGTGGAGGGAGCTGAAGGTTCGAGTTGCCAAACGTCAGCCTCGAAACCTTAATGACTTGGAGAAGATCTGCAAAAGAGGAGTGGGACAAAATCCCTCCTGAGATGTGTGCAAACCTGGTGGCCAACTACAAGAAACGTCTGACCTCTGTGATTACCAATAAGGGTTTTGCCACCAAGTATTAAGTCATGTTTTGCAGAGGGTCAAATACTTATTTCCCTCATTAAAATGTAAATCACTTCATAACATTTTTGACATGCGTTTTTCTGGGTTTTTGTTGTTGTTATTCTGTCCTCTCACTGTTCAAATAAACCTACCATTAAATTATAAACTGATCATTTCTTTGTCAGTGGGCAAACGTACAAAATCAACAGGGGATCAAATACTTTTTTCCCTCACTGTACATACTGCTCATAGACCAACACTACCCACAGACTCAACACTGCACCTCCGATTAGCACAGTTGGCTACGTACAGTGGGAAGAAATTTCAACGGACATACGTACAATGCATTACACGCACAACACAGCGCGTGGCCCATATAACACAAAAGCACGGTGACACAACGTATGACAAAATAACACAACGGCACAAAACTTTACTCGCACAGCGTCGCAATTAATTACACAAATAACACAACCGTGCACAGACACGATGCATCGCTCGCACAGCAACGCAACACGAGGCGCGATCCAAATACAACAGAGCACGCAGCACAGCACAACAACACATGACCCACCCAGCAACACAACGCATGACCAAAATAGCCCAACACAGCAGATCACAGCTGCACCATCACCTGATCAAACAAAATATACTTCAACTTGAACCGTGATGCCCGTGTGTGTGTGTGGGGAGCGGTTAGTGTAGCGGTTAGCGCGCTGCACTACGAACCTGGCGACCCGAGTTCGATTCCGCTCACGGTCAACACCAGTGATGAGTATCTGAACGGTCCCGGGCCTCCCCTAGGTCTACTCAGCCGCAAATGAGTACCTGGTGCGGCGCGTAAACATCGCCACTTGGGAGACAAAGGCGGCCGGGCGTGGTGCTGGCCACCAACCCCCTCGTGTGCCATTCTGGCCTTCATAGGTGCTCGCTAACAGCACTTGCCCCGACAGCCTGTTAAGGCTACACGGGGGATCTTTAGTTCGTCGTTGTTGTCGACGCTCGTGCCCCTACGCGGGAGCCGCCGTGTGTCCCTCACCTCCGTGGCGCCGGCTCCCACGCGGGGCTTGCGCGTCTTCTTGAGGTGCACGTGCACCGGCGTGTCTTCGTCCACGTGCACGTGCACCGGCGGGGAGCCCGTCCGTATCTTCATGGTCCTGCCGCACTGCCGACAACAAGCAACAACAACAAACAACAACCAACATAACATCATCATCACCATCTTCACCATCCCGGGGAGCCCGTGCGCATCTTCATGTTGCCGCCGCACTGCCGACAACAACCAACAACAGCCAACACAACAACAGCATGATCATCGCCATCCGAATCTTTATGGTCCTGTCACACTGCAAACCACCACCACCAACAACAACCAATACCAACAACATCACCATCATCACGGGGAGCCTGTGTACATTGCAAACCACCAACGGCAACAATCAACACAACAACAACAACAACCAACACAACACCATCACCGGTAGGGAGCCTCCACGCACTTCCGACAACAGCGCAAATTGCCACCGCAAACATCATCGTGCCTTCACACTACCCCAGCGCACTGCTGACGTTAGAACGACAACAACGCGAAGACCACGACCTCATCGACGTCAAGTGCAGATTTCGCAGCCCCTTTGATCAGACCCAGGCGTTAGTGTTCGCACGCCCACAGGCGAACGCCTCGGTCACCATCATGAAACAATCAAACCTTGGTCAATCCGTGAGGTTTCTTTATTGTGGGTTACGTTGCCGTAGATATAAATGTGTCGTGGACCCGGCCATGTCGGGTGGTAGTGGGTTTAACGACGCATTTATTCGTACGCAATTCTAACCCAAATATGGACAAAGTTGGTCGTGAATGCTATGTGTTAAACATGGTCAATCCACTGCTGGATGAAGGACTCCCTTAGCCGTGACTATCCCTCACGGTCCTGCCGCTGCGGCGATGTGAGCGTATCAATGGGCAAGTGAGCGTGCTGCTTGCTGTTACTGCGGGGAGCGGTGGTGCAGCGGTTAGCGCGATGCGCTAACCGCTCACAACTAACACCGGTGACGATTATCTGAGCCGGTCATGGGCCTCCCCTAGGTTGACTCAGCCTCAAATGAGTACCTGGTGCGGTGTGTGAACATCATCAGCACTGGGGAGACAAAGGCGGCCGGGCGTGGTGCTGGTCACCCACCCCCTCGTGTGCCGTGTTGGCCTTCATAGTTGCTACTCGCTAGGGATGCCACGGTGGCTAGGAGATGTTAACTACTTTGCCTGGTATACAGGAGGTCGTGGGTTCCATCCCGACCACCGACGCCTCCTGCATATTTGGGGTTTGCATGTTTTCCCCGTTTTCGCGTGGATTTTCCTCCTGTTCCTCCCCCTCCACATTTAGAAAGGACGTGCGGGTTCATCGTATTGTCTGCAATAAATTTCCACACGATGAGCCAATCGGTTGAGCGAAAATTTGTGGTGGCAACGTCGCTTCTGAAAAAAAAGAGCTAAATCGCTTCAGTTTATTACAGCACTTGCCCCCATGAGTCTGCAATACGTGGGACCTTTGTCTGGGCTGCTCCAGGCTTCCTTCCACAGGCAATCCACCGTTTAAAAGGTAAATATGCTCAACATCCGAGGCCTTACCGGTCAAACAAATGCCATCATCTCAAATTGGAGAATTGTGTTTGCCAATGTCAAAGTATTAAAAGGGTATAACAACCTATTATTATTTCTAGATTAAGCTTTCGTGACTGCTAGGATCCATACTCTTTGGTTCTATTGGGTAAAGTCACGTAGGTGAAAATAAAATAACAAAAAATCACGACGTTTCGGCCACAACACAAGCGGCCTTCATCAGGTGAAGGGACGAGACTGTCTGGAACACTGTCCTCCAGTCTCGTCCCTTCACCTGATGAAGGCCGCTTGTGTTGTGGCAGAAACGTCGTGATTTTTGTTATTTTATTTTCACCTACGTGACTTTACCCAATAGAACCAAAGAGTATGGAACCTATTATTATTTTTCAACGCCCTCTGATACTGGCAAAAACTAAATGTTTCCCCATGATACATCTTTAATCACAACGCAGGCTGTGGGTGTCCATGGCAACGCGTCTCCAGCCACCACCAAAGCAGCAATGAAAATAAAGCTCCCAGCAACGCTAAGCCAGCTTCTATCTCCCTCTCTCTCTCTCTTTCTCTCTCTCAACAACCACGGCACTGTTCTTAGCTCTTTCGGTAAAGTCACGTTGTAGGGAAACAATAAAATAATGAAATATATATAAAACAATAAAAAAAATTCTCACGACGTTTCGACCGTAACACAAACGGTCGTCATCAGGTGTGATGATCATCAGCTGTGTGACAATGATGACCGTTTGTGTTATGGTCGAAACGTCGTGAGAATTTGTATTGTTTTATATATATTTCATATATATTTTATTGTTTCCCTTCAACGTGACTTTACCGAAAGAGCTAAGAATATGAATGACTGCAGTCACGAAAGCTTTAAATCAAAATTTAACCACGGCACTGTAGTGGTTTTAGATGTATTGTGACCCCCCCACCCATCCACATCACCGATTTGATTTCTCAAAAACTTTATATATATTTAAAAGGTTTATTTAAAAAAGGGGAATATGTTGATGGGGTCAGTTAATATTGGGGAAACCACAAGACATCTGGACCATCCTGTACAGTAACAACGAAGTACAGTAGTTAATCGATATGTATCCATCGATGGTTATGACGACAGACTGTGTTGCTGCTGATGATGCAGAAATAATGATAGCAACATAACACGTTTTCAGAATGATGTCCGACGTTCGCTTCGCATGCTGGAAGACCTTTTCAGCAACTGAATTAATGATTGCTTTTGACGAGGACGATAGTAACGATAGTGGTGCTGACGAGACCGCAATGACATTGATGACGACGACTGTTACACCATAACAATCACCCCAGAACGTGGTGTTTACAAGGCGAGGCGACGAGCGGGTGTTGTTCTGATCCCAACACCTACCACGCCGTCTGTCCCAGCGTGGGACAAAACGCCCGAGCGGAGTTGTCGTCTCCCTCACTCACTCACTCACCCCGCCGACCTTCCATCAGCAGTTGCGGAAGCGATGCGTTGCAGGGGCTGCGCTTTGAACGATTCCAACAAAAGCGGCCGTTGCAAACTCCCGCATTCTCGCGGGCCAAGAGAGACGACGCCAACGGAACAGCCAAAACAACATCATCGACCGCTACAAACTGGTACCGTATTTAACCGACCCCGGCGGCGGTGGTGGCGATGGTGATGATGATGGGTCGCGCGCCGTCCGCCCGCTGCGCCAACGCCAACGCCGCCGCCGTCTCGCGGCCTTCAAAACATCGGCACGAACCGAGCCCTCCTTCCGCCGCTCCCCATTGGTCAATTCAAACTCAACGTTCGCTCGAGCTCGGCCGCCGATTGGTCGACCATCCCCGGGGGGCCGTTTCCCGCTGCGATCAGCTGGAGTCGAACCCCCCCCCCACCGCGCCCGCCCAACTCACAATGTTGCCTTGGAGACGGTGGAAGAGGTGGGGGGAGAGACGCGCGTTGCCACGGTAACAGACGCTCGTTGCCAAGAGCAGCGACGCGCGTTGCCCTAGGGACAGCCGCGCGGCCTTTTGGCGGGAATTTAGAGCGGCATTTAAAAAAACACTTTTACCCGCGGCTCCCCTCAGAAAATTAATTCACCTCATAACAAAAAAATAAAGCTCAACGCGTGCGTCGATACTCGTAACAATAAGTGGCTTATCATCATCACCACCATGTGGACATTTCTAGCAACAGTCGTCAGGGTTGTGATTGAAGCCACGACCTCCTGTACACCAGGCGAGGTAGTTAACATTTCCTAGCCACCGTGATGATGATGAGAGAGAGAGACACGCAAACTCCAAATATACAGCAGCAGGCGTCAGGGTCGGGATTGAACCCACGACCTCCTGTATACCAGGCGAGGTAGTTAACATCTCCTAGCTACCGAATGGCTGGAGTCCAGAACCGATATTTATTTACATAATTGAACTTTATGGCGGGATCCCGGGGTCCCATAAGCCCCCGGCTCTCGCATACACATTATACACATTATATTATGTCAACAAACACTTTGCTCTTTTTCACCAATGGGTTTGAAGGATGGTGGCAAGTGTTGTCTTTCTAATCTTGTTAAACTATGCCTTTAAAACTGAAAACTACTTACCTGCAGTACCTCTTTAAATACACTATCGAACAAATATTGACACCCCTCTGTCAATCAGCGTGATTCTCAGTGTGGATTTGTGAACACATTTTGTAAACGGTGCATAAAATAGTACGCGTTTTCAATGCGCTGTTCATATTGCAACAAGCGTTTACACCAAAGTTACTCTACAGAGTAATGGGTCGCCGCTCCTCTTATCCGCATTGATACGAGATGAATTAGCATGTCAGTGAGATATTTGGAGCTTTCGTGTCTGCAGGAAATAATTTCGTCGTGGGCAGTTTGGGCAGCTTCAGAAAAAGGCTTGTGATGATCCTGACCCATACACGAGCATGGAGCGCATTCGCTTGTTCAGCTCTTGTGAGCTATTCGCTTGGTTCAGCTCTTGTGAGCTATTCGCTTGTTCAGCTCTTGTGAGCTATTCGCTTGTTTAGGTCTTGTGAGCTCTTCACTTGTTCAGGTCTTGTGAGCTATTCGCTTGTTCAGGTCTTGTGAGCTATTCGCTTGTTCAGCTCTTGTGAGCTATTCGCTTGTTCAGCTCTTGTGAGATATTCGCTTGTGCAGGTCCTTGTGCGCATTCGCTTGTTCAGGTCTTGTGAGCTCTTCGCTTGTTCAGCTCTTGTGAGCTATTCGCTTGTTCAGGTCTTGTGAGCTATTCGCTTGTTCAGCTCTTGTGAGCTATTCGCTTGTTCAGCTCTTGTGAGCTATTCGCTTGTTCAGCTCTTGTGAGCTATTCGCTTGTTCAGCTCTTGTGAGCTATTCGCTTGTTCAGCTCTTGTGAGCTATTCCGCTTGTTCAGGTCTTGTGAGCTATTCACTTGTTCAGGTCTTGTGAGCTATTCGCTTGTTCAGCTCTTGTGAGCTATTCGCTTGTTCAGCTCTTGTGAGCTATTCGCTTGTTCAGCTCTTGTGAGCTATTCGCTTGTTCAGCTCTTGTGAGCTATTCGCTTGTTCAGGTCTTGTGAGCTATTCGCTTGTTCAGCTCTTGTGAGCTATTCGCTTGTTCAGCTCTTGTGAGCTATTCGCTTGTTCAGCTCTTGTGAGCTATTCGCTTGTTCAGCTGTTGTGAGCTATTCGCTTGTTCAGCTCTTGTGAGATATTCGCTTGTGCAGGTCTTGTGCGCATTCGCTTGTTCAGGTCTTGTGAGCTATTCGCTTGTTCAGCTCTTGTGAGCTATTCGCTTGTTCAGGTCTTGTGAGCTATTCGCTTGTTCAGCTCTTGTGAGCTATTCGCTTGTTCAGCTCTTTTGAGCTATTCGCTTGTTCAGCTCTTGTGAGCTATTCGCTTGTTCAGGTCTTGTGAGCTATTCGCTTGTTCAGGTCTTGTGAGCTATTCGCTTGTTCAGCTCTTGTGAGCTATTCGCTTGTTCAGCTCTTGTGAGCTATTCGCTTGTTCAGCTCTTGTGAGATATTCGCTTGTGCAGGTCTTGTGCGCATTCGCTTGTCAGGTCCTGTGAGATATTCGCTTGTTCAGCTCTTGTGAGCTATTCGCTTGTTCAGCTCTTGTGAGCTATTCGCTTGTTCAGCTCCTGGGCGCTATTCGCTTGTTCAGCTCTTGTGAGCTATTCGCTTGTTCAGCTCTTGTGAGCTATTCGCTTGTTCAGCTCCTGTGAGCTATTCGCTTGTTCAGGTATTGTGAGCTATTCGCTTGTTCAGGTCTTGTGAGCTATTCGCTTGTTCAGCTCTTGTGAGCTATTCGCTTGTTCAGCTCTTGTGAGCTATTCGCTTGTTCAGGTCTTGCGAGCTATTCGCTTGTTCAGCTCTTGTGAGCTATTCGCTTGTTCAGGTCTTGTGCGCATTCGCTTGTTCAGCTCTTGTGAACTATTCGCTTGTTCAGCTCCTGTGAGCTATTCGCTTGTTCAGCCCTTGTGAGCTATTCGCCTGTTCAGCTCTTGTGAGCTATTCGCTTGTTCAGCTCTTGTGAGCTATTCGCTTGTTCAGCTCCTGTGAGCTATTCGTCTTCACTGCTGCGCTTGGACACGACACGGGAACAGAACAATCCGCGCCAGGTCGCGGCGTTCATGTGCGCGGTGGGACGGAGTCAACAAGAATACATTAATTCATTCAGATTTTGACTTAAGTTTATTCGGCACCCCGGGGTCCCGCCATAAGGTTCATGATTAATTATCGTAACGATGTTTTGCGTTTAATCCGTTACGTGATCAATAGCCGTGTCAACAGCGTTGTGTCAACTTGCGTGTGACTTGGAGTGCCCGGAGAACACTCGCATTGTACACTGCAGCAATATTAATAAAATCACTCATTCGCTCACCCGCTCACGCATTTAACCGCTCGCTTACAAAACTCAGCCACGGCCCACGAACTATTCCACCTCTCACCGAAGCACTCGCCGATTCACTCATCACACACTGACCCACTCACTTACTCACCTCTTCAATCCCACGTGAACTCAATCTGCCACTGCACCACTCACTTTGATTCAACCTTCAAAATCTACCCAAATCACCGATCCACTCGCTCAGTGACTTCTTCACCCCACCACCTATTTGTGTTTAGTTTGTCGTCCTTACCCCGCACCTTCAATAATTATATTATCAAAGGTTGGCTATTACGGTGCGAAAGCTGTTCATACATTCTGCCCATAGACTAACACTGCCCATAGACTCAATAATGCCCATAGACTCAACTCTAATCCATAGACTCACCACTACCCATAGACTCAACTCTACCCAGACTCAAGACTAACCATAGACTCAACACTGCCCATAGACTCAACACTACCCAGACTCAACACTGCACCTCCGATCAGCACGGTTGTCTGCGTATGGTGCGAAAGAAGTTCAACATACATATCGTATTACCCATAAGAGGTTTTTGTTGGATTATTGCGTAAATGTGTCGTTAAACCCTCCACCACCCGACAGCCAATTATAGCAAGATCAACTAGTAACGAAATGGCAAGTTTTTGTTAACGTGACAAACCTTACTAATTGGCTGGTGGGTTTAACAACACATTTATATTTATGCAATCTAAACAACAAACCTCTGAGGGGCCGTCCATAAATGACGTCACGCGATTTTTGGACAATTTTTTACCCCCCCCCTCGTCACACGGCGTCACAAAAAGTCAGACCCCCCCCTCGTCACAAAGCTCTACCCCCCCCCCCCAAAATAAAACATGCTTCAAATCGCTTTAAACTATTGTCATTGTAGTGCGTATTAATGTGGCGCCTGCACTCTGATGTTGTCGGAGGAAAACATTTATTAAAAAAAGTCTATTTAATTAAGTAAAACGTGTTGTCTATATTTATTTAAAGTTGCGCATTGTGATGTGACGTCACATTTCTCAAACCACCCCCCCTAGGTGCATGACGTCATTTATGGACGGCCCCTTATGGATATTGTCCGCGATAGCCTACGCGTTAATAAACGTATTAGATTAAGAGTTACGTGATTTATTATTTGGGTTCGACCACGTAATGATCTTACAAAATTTGCGTCGTTAATATCCTCTAGGATGCCAGTCCCTCATTTGCGAGTTTCGGACCGGTTAAACCAACTCAACTTAGAACCGCTGGCGTTACGTAAAGGGGCGACTCTCCCAAATTCAACCACTGGATACAATTTCCGTTGCCCCTGCGTCCAACATACATCGACCTACCTACTCAATAACTGACCCACTTACTCATTCACTGACCAACCCCTTCAATCACTCCGCAACTCGCCCACTGAAAACGAATTTCTTTCAAACTACTGTTTGTCTCCAGTTTGTGGTCCTTCCCCCCCGCGCCTCCGATTAGCATGGCTGTCGACGTATGGTGGGAAAGAAGTTCAACATACGTACACTGTTTAACACGTAGGCTTTCGCGACCAATATTATTCATAAAAAAAAGGTTTTTGGGTTAGATCGCGTTATTTATCATTATTATGAATACGTACACTGACAAACTTACCCAACCTCTCGCTCAACGTTCTCCCATCGCACCTGGCGGACGTACCTTTCCCTCCCCTCCTCCTTCTCATCGTGGTCACAAACGAACAATCGTAATCGGTCGGTAAACTCTCTGTATCATTTTATTTAGCGAACGAGTCTGCAGGCCGCGTCTACGAGCGGCAAACGACAGGGGGGGCTGCCCCCCCCCCCCAACCCCCCCAGGCACGCCCGGTCACAACACGGCCGGCATGCACGGAAAGCCGTCACTACCGCCGCATGCGTGTCGGGCTTCAACGCAACCTCCGTAGCTGCCTTGAAGCATTAGGGTTTGGCTGGTGGAGTGCACGCCGCCGCCGCCGCCCCCTTCAAAATGTTTAGGCGAGTCTAAAAATGTTGGTGCAAACGTGGGCGCAGTGGAGCGATGGGCAGCCCTTCCTGCCGCACACACGGGGTTGAGAGAAAGACCCGAGCGTGTCCGTCCGGTGCTCGCCGAACCGCATTGGCTTCCGATTGCCGAGCGAACACAGCGGCGTTGTTACCAGGTCGCGCTAGTTAACACACAAAGTGCTTGCTGCAAACGAACAACCACCATCCCTTGGCTGATCTCGTCAAAGAGCTATCGACCACCGTCACGCTAACTGCCGGCAGCCCTCGCAGCGGCGGCTTTTATCCGAACCCTTTCCCCGTTCCGAGACGTCTGCAACCTTTACAGGGCGGGGGTCCCGTTCACCGGAGAATCTCGGAACACGCGAGCGGTTCGGCGTTAGTTTTTATTTAGAGAGGCGTAGCGCCGCTGCACTCACCGCCGCAGAGAACCGTAGCGACACGCCCGCCGCACTCTGCAACAGCTGGCGCCAAAATGTGCCACACGCCTCTCCCCGGCGTGGCCATGCGGGAGCCTCGGTACCGATAAAGTTATTTTATTCGAGCATTTCTTCCGGTACCGTTCCGGTGACGTATGCGTACGTCAACGGAATGGGAAAGGGTAAACAAGCTCTCTCGCACGCGCTCGGGATCGAGGCCGTGGAGGCGAGTGGCTCTTGGAAGCATGGGAAGAGGGAATGGGCCTTGCCGGGCCCGGTCCAACAATGGCCCGGGCCACGCGGCTTGGGTCCCGGTTGCAGACTGGCCGTGGAAACGCAGCAGGAGAAGCGGCGGCGTCTGCGGTGGCGGCAGCGGCGGCGGCAGTGGCGCCGCGCGTCACGTGCGTCACGCGCGTCCCCGCTGCTGCCCGATGGCCTGCTGCGTGCGCTCGTACCACGGCCCCAGCTTCGTGTTGGCCATGACGTCGTCGAACGCCTGCAGGCCCTCCATGACGCGCAGAACGCCGAACACGGCCTGGAGCGGAGGGGCAACGCACGGGGATGGACGGGGAAAGTACGGGGATGGACGGGGACGCATGGGGACATACGGGGATACATGAGACACATGGGGATGCAGAGGCGTAAATGGGGGAGATGCGCAAGGTAAGTTTAGTGTAGGTTTAGGATGGGTTTAGGAGATGTTTGGGATGTGTCAGGAAGGGTGTATGCTGCTGTTTAGGGTGGGTTTATGATTGCTTTAGGTTGCGGCTTCGGCTCGGTTTAGGATTAGGTTTAAGCCGAGGTTTAGGATTGAGTTTATGTTGGGTTTAGGATGAGGCACTGGCCGGGTTTATGACGGTTTTGTTGAAGTTGGGTTTTAGACCGAGGCTCAGCATGGGATGAGGGTGCGAGGCGCAGGCTTGGGGAAGCGGGGGGGGGGGGGGTGGGTGCCGCTGACCAGGTCGGCGAGGTTGGGGCTCTGTCCACCCATGAAGGGGCGCTCCTTCCCCAGGGCGCGAACCCACTCGTTGGCGGCCTGGTACAGGTCCTGGCGCACATCCTCCTGCATGTGGTGCCTGCAACGCACGGTGGGGTGGGAGCGGGGCGCGGAGGGGGTGACGCCGGCGGTTCCGGCGGAGCAGAGTTCACCCTCGCGCCTCACAGCGTGACGCTCCCGGGTTTGACAGCCCGGCCAGGGCGCTCTCTCCGCGTGGTGTTAACGTGTTCCACGTCTTCAACCACTCCTCCTCCCACTTCCCCGGCCTTTTTTCAACTCCCTCCTTCCTTGATTTGAGGGCCCCCCTCCCTCTTGCGCGTGCGGTTAGGGAACCCCGCGCGAGTAGCCATCGTATTTACCATGCGCGTTAGGTGCCTGCGCTTAAGCAGGCTCCGGTGTTGGCTATCCGCGAATCGCGTCTGGAACTCGACAGGCTCGCATCAAGAGAGAGATCGAGTGATGAGAGATGAAGTGAGCAGAGATAAAGTGATGAGAGAGAATGTGATGCGATGAAGTGATGTCCTATATACGTATGTACGATGAACTTCTTTCGCACCATACGTAGCCAACCGTGCAAATCGGAGGTGCAGTGTTGAGTCTATGGGCAGTGTTGAGTCTATGGGCAGTGTTGAGTCTATGGGCAGTGTTGAGTCTATGGGCAGTGTTGAGTCTAAGGGCAGTGTTGAGTCTACGGGTAGTGTTGAGTCTATGGGCAGTGTTGAGTCTATGGGCAGCGTTGAGTCTATGGTGCAGTGTTGAGTCTATGGGTAGTGTTGAGTCTATGGGCAGTGTTGAGTCTATGGGCAGTGTTGAGTCTAAGGGCAGTGTTGAGTCTACGGGTAGTGTTGAGTCTATGGGCAGTGTTGAGTCTATGGGTAGTGTTGTCTATGGGCAGTGTTGAGTCTATGGGCAGTGTTGAGTCTATGGGCAGTGTTGAGTCTATGGGCAGTGTTGAGTCCATGGGCAGTGTTGAGTCTATGTGCAGTGTTGAGTCCATGGGCAGTGTTAGTCTATGGGTAGTGTTGAGTCTATGGGCAGTGTTGAGTCTATGGGTAGTGTTGAGTCTATGGGTAGTGTTGAGTCTACGTACGTCTGTGCATTGAACTTCTTCCGCACTGTACGTAGCCAACCGCGTCAATTTGGAGAGGTCGGTCGTCTGCGTGCGGGGAGGGGGGGGGGGCACTCACTTTCGCTTGAGCCGCTTGCTCACGAGGAACATGGCGGCGGCGCCGCAGTACTTGGCGAAGACGCCCTCCACGGAGCCGAACTTCCCCACGCGCACGATGTAGTCGAACGACGCCAGTGCCTCGCGCGGAGAGCGGTACACGTTGGGCGAGATGAGGTGGACGAGGTGGTTGTCCACCCAGCGCCGCCACTTCGTCTCTTCCCTGCTCCTCGCGCACACGGTGGGGAAGTGGGGGGGGGGGGGGGGGGGCGCGGCAAATGAGACACAAAGGTCACCCGTGTAGCCTTCAAGCCAAGTTCGCTGTCATTGTGGCGAGTGGCCGGAATGTCGCACACCAATGACGACGGTTGGTGAACCAGCACCACGCCCCGGCCGCCTTTGTCTCCCCGGTGCTGATGTTTACACACAGGGCCGGGTACTAATTTTCAGGCTGGATCGACCTAGGGGAGGCCCAGCGCCGGGTCAGCTCATCGTCACTGGCGTTGGCCGTGGTTCGTTGGGCGAGTGGAGTGTGCGTTGCTCTGACCTGCAGAGACGGTGGCCGAGCACTGCGTAAGGTGGAATGAAGCAATCAGTTCCTGGCATTGCCGAGGCGTCAACGCGCGTGGAGGAATCGACGAGCGAAGGTCACGGGCAACGGTAACCATTGTGGTAGCAGCAGCGATAGTAGAAGAGCGACAGGGAGGTGACTGACCCGCCGGTTTGCAAAGCGCGCCGTGTGTGAGCGAGCGAGCGAGCCAGCTAGCGAGTTGCCCTGCGGTGGAGTCTCACTGGCGGGCCTTCTCGCTGGCGTAGAAGTGCGTGACATCCACCCCCTCAGGCAGCATCACCCAGTACTTGTTGCCGTGCTCCACCACCTCCTTGCCCCGCTCGTCCTCGTGACGCACTTCCGGGTACAGTGTCAGCACCTCCTCCAGGCCCCGGCCGCTGCCCCTGCCGGCGCAACCAACGGCACAGATTACAGCTACGGCCAAAGGCCTAGGGCTTAGGGACTGGGGCCTAAGGCCTAGGACATAAGGGATGGGGCCTAGGGCCTCAGGGCTAGGGCCAAGGAGTTAGAGGTTGGGGCCTAGGACACAGGGACTAGGGCTGAGACCTAAGTCCTAGGATTTAGGAGCTAGAAGCATCTAGGACTTAAGACCTTGGGCCTAAGGGCTGGAGGCTGGGGCCTAGGGCCTAAGGCCTAGGGCCTAAAAGCTAGGACCTTGGGCCTAAGACCTAGGGCTTAGGACTAAGGGACAAGATGCTGAGGCTGAGAGCCTCGGGCCTGGGGCTCGGGCTATTTTTAAGAGTTGGTGTTAGTGCTTGGGCTTAGCAGTTAGTGTCAAGGCTTCGTGGTTGGTATTATGGTTGGGGTTTAGTGTTTTTGGTTGACGTTGCTTGGGTTAGTGTTGGGAGCTGATGCTAGTGTTGACGGTTAGTGGTAAGCCTTGGTTTTAGTGCTGTGAGTTCGTGTTCGGGTTTAACATTACAGCTTAGTGTAATGGTTTGTGGTGGTGGTGGTTTAGCATTCTGTTTGTGCTGTAGTCAGCATTATGGTCAGCTGTGGTGTGTTCGCGTTATTGTTAGTGTACTGGGTTAGTATTATGAGTAGGTGTTTGTGTTAAGGATCAGTGGTACAGGCAAGATTTAGTGATTGAGGTGGTTGCTCTTCAATGGCCATATGAATTATTTATCATCAATGTTAAAGATAGGGGTAATGGTTAGTGCTGGGGTTTGGATTAGGGCTACGGTTAGTGTTAGAGGTTGGGGTTTTATGGTTAGGGCGAGCGTTGTGTCGTACGAGTTGGGGTTGGTTGCTCACTTGGAGATGAGGAGGGTCTTGAGGATGCTGATAATGTACGAGGAGTCGTTGAGTTGCTGTGGAGAGAATCGCCGAGCAATGTAATCACATCGCTCACTCACACATAGCAGCCGCCCGCTAACACAGCGGGCGCACGTCCAACACAGCTGGTGCAGGAACCAACACAGCTGATCCAACACAGCCGTTCCAACACAGCTGTGCACGTCCCAACACAGCTGGTCCAACACAGCCGTTCCAACACAGCTGGTGCACATCCCAATACAGCTGGTCAAACACAGCCGGTCAAACACAGCTGGTGCACGTCCCAACACAGCTGGTCCAACACAGCCGTTCCAACACAGCTGGTGCACATCCCAACACAGCTGGTCCAACACAGCCGTTCCAACACAGCTGGTGCACATCCCAACACAGCTGGTCCCGTTCAAACACAGCTGGTGCACGTCCCAACACAGCTGGTCCCGTTCCAACACAGCTGGTGCATGTCCCAACACAGCTGGTCCCGTTCCAACACAGCTGGTGCACATCCCAAGACAGCTGGTCCCGTTCCAACACAGCTGGTGCACATTTTAACACAGCTGGTGCACGTCCCAACACAGCCGTCCCAACACAGCTGGTGCACATCCCAACACAGCTGGTCCAACACAGCCGTTCCAACACAACTGGTGCACATCTCAACACAGCTGGTGCACGTCCCAACACAGCTGGTGCACGTCCCAACACAACCGTTCCAACACAGCTGGTGCACATCCCAACACAGGTGCGACCTGGCCATCACAAATGATGAAATGGCTTATCATGATCGCGTGAAAATGCATAGCAGCTAAATACTCAAAACGTGCAATGTTGATTCCGAATGTGGAGGAAAAACCAGAGGACCAGATAAAAATCCACACGACCATGGGGAGAGAGACACGCAAACTCCAAATATACAGCAGGTGTCAGGGTCGGGATCGAACCCACGACCTCCTGCACACCAGGCGAGGTTGTTAACATCTCCAAGCCACCGTGATGATGATGAGAGAGAGACATGCAAACTCTGAATACACAGCAGGTGTCAGGGTCGGGATCCAACCCATAACCTCCTGCACACCAGGCGAGGTCGTTAACATCTCCTAGCCACCATGATGATGATGAGAGAGAGACACGCAAACTCCAAATATACAGGTGTCAGGGTCGCGATCGAACCTGCGACCTCCTGCTCACCAGGCGAGGTAGTTAACATCTCCTAGCCACCGTGATGATGATGAGAGAGAGAGACACGCAAACTCTAAATACAAAGCAGGTGTCAGGGTCGGGATCGAACCCACGACCTCCTGCACACCAGGCGAGGTCGTTAACATCTCATAGCCACCGCGGTGCCCCGCCACTGGGGAGACAAAGGCGGCTGGGCGTAGTGCTCACCTAGCACCCCCTTCGTGTGCCGTGGCGGCCTTGATGGGTGCTGCTACTCGCCAACGGCACTTGCCCCAGCAGTCTGTTGAGGCTATACGGTAGGGGGTGGGGGGTGGGGGTTTGCCTTTGTCGGTGTGCGCGAGACTCACCACAGGGCTGTCGGAGCCACCGGCGTCGGCGACGATGACGATGGGCACCTTGCGGTAGGAGGAGAAGGCGATCTCGTGACGCATCACCGGGTTCACCTCCACCAGGCGGTAGGGCAGGCCGTGGTAGTCCAGGAAGGCACGCACCTTGCTGCAGAACGGGCACGTCTGGTACTGGTACAGGGTCAGCTTCGGCGCACCCTCGCTCTCCTCCTGCGAGACGAAAACAAGACGAAGATCCCTCCCGTGACACGACTGTTGGGTCGGCATGACGCAACGAGAGGGCGGGTGGCCAGCACCACACTCCAGCGCATCCGGCCACTAAGTGACGGTGACGTCACCACAGCGCCTGTGCCAGGCCAGGTGCACTTTGAGGCCACGTGAAGTGTTGAAGGCTCGTTGACAGGAGGTCACGGGGTAGACCCAGGTGCCCTGGGTTAGCCGAGATGACTGGCAGACGTACCCCCCTACTGTGCCAACTTGCTGCACACGTACAAACACACACGTACACACATCTATATACACAAAGACCCCCCGTACAGCCTTAACAGACTGTTGGGGCAAGTGTTTTTTTTAGCGAGTAGCACCTATGAAGGCCGGCATGACACATGGGGTCGGTGGCCAGCACCACACCCCGGATGCCTTTGTATCCCGCCGAGTGGCAATGTTGACACACCGCACCTGGTACTCATTTTAGGCCGAGTCTACCTAGGGGAGGCCCCAGACCCTTTCAGATAATCGTCACCGGTGTTGGCCGTGAGCGGGAATCAAACTCGGGACACCGGGCTCGTAGGGCTCGTAACGCACCCGCGCTAACCGCTGCACCACCGCCTCCCACACGGACCACACACACTGATCCAGAGTCCATGCTAAGGTCAGGGTTAGAGTATGAACCTTGAATAGGGTCCAAGAGTAAGGTTCGACTCTGGCTTGAAAGTCCAGGCCCCATCGTCGAGGTCAGTGCCTTGGTTTAACGCCGAGTGACTGTTAAGGGTTTGACTCCGGGTTTAGGGTCCGGCTTAAGGGTCTCCATATGTAGTTCCACCCCATGTTTACCAATTAGGGTGAGAGGCCAGGTCCAACCAGTTCATAGACTACGCACGTCTGGGTAAGAGGCTTTGCCTTCCGGTGTTGGTCAACGGCTAGGGCTGGACCCAATTTTATAGTCGTGGCATGGGTTTGACCCATAGTGGGGGTCTGCAACACAGGTCCCGTGTTGGGGTCAGGATTACGGACCCCGTGTTGGTGTTAGGATTACAGGTCCCGTGTTGGGGTCAGGATTACGGACCCCGTGTTGGTGTTAGGATTGCTGGTGTCGTGTTGGGGTCAGCATCACAGACCCCGTGTTGGAGTCAGAATTACGGACCCCGTGTTGGGGTCATAATTACAGGTCCCGTGTTGGGGTCAGAATTACAGGTCCCGTGTTGGGGTCAGGATTGCTGGTGCCGTGTGGGGGTCAGAATTACAGGTCCCGTGTTAGGGTCAGCATCACAGACTCGTGTTGGGGTCAGAATTACAGGTCCCGTGTTGGGGTCAGGATTGCTGGTCCCGTGTTGGGGTCAGAATTACAGGTCCCGTGTTAGGGTCAGCATCACAGACTCGTGTTGGAGTCAGAATTACAGGTCCCGTGTTGGGGTCAGGATTGCTGGTCCCGTGTTGGGATCAGAATTACAGGTCCCGTGTTAGGGTCAGCATCACAGACCCGTGTTGGGGTCAGAATTACAGGTCCCGTGTTGGGGTCAGAATTACAGGTCCCGTGTTAGGGTCAGCATCACAGACCCGTGTTGGGGTCAAAATTACAGGTCCCGTGTTGGGGGGTCAGCATCACAGACCCCGAACAGACCCCGGAGTTGGAGTCGGCATCACAGCTGAGGCTTAAGCTCCGAATTAGAGGTCAGGGCTGGGGTCATCCCCACCCCAACCCCGCCCGCCTCCGCTCGCCACACTCCGCGGCGTCTTCCCGTACCGGCTCGGCCCGCGCGGCGCCCTGCAGCCTCCACGCGGCGCCCGCTCCCAGCAGCGTCAGCGCCGAGCACGCGGCGCCCAGCAGCCACCCTGAGCCGCGGCCCCAGCCTCCTTGCCCACCACCGCGGCCACCGTCGCCACCCCTGCTCCATCCTCCACCGAGCGTCGCTCTCAGCGCCAGACCCCGGCAGGGCGGCGCGAGGAGCGGGAGGAGGAGGAGGCGACGAGGCGACCGAGCTCGGAGAGCCGTCGCCAGAGCGGCTCTCCGCGCCGCGAACGACGCCGCCGCTACAGACGCCATGGACCACGCACGTGGGTGGGGTCTGAGGAGGAGCAGGAAGTGGAAGCCGCGTGACGTCACGCGAGGGGGGCGTGGTTTTTCATATACTTAGCTCTTTCGGTAAAGTCACGTTGAAGGGAAACAATAAAATAATAAAATATATATAATAATAAAAACATTCTCACGACGTTTCGACCGTAACACAAACGGTCGCCATCAGGTGTGTCGGTTTGCATAAATTTATTTATAAACGGTGTATTTATTTATTTATAAAAAACGTCAGCGCCACGCGCAGCGATTTGGCAGTTTATTTAGAAGGACGAGTCCATCTATGTTCTGAGAAGAGGAGGGGGGAGACGAAAAAATAATGTATGCTGTCTGAAAGCCACCACCGTAAGCGTGAACAATCAATTAAGACGCGAAATGGTTTATCAAATCCTTCCAATGATTGCTAAGACAGAATCCATCTTCTCGGTTGAAATTGTCTCTGTGCTTGTATATGTGGATAGCCTCGTGAAAGAATCTCTCATGGTAGCCAGATGACTTACAATGTCATGTGAGCCTACTGAATTATAGTATTATAACAATGCTTTAAGTCGCAGAGGAGTCGGTGCCAGCACGGAGGGTTTTGACTCTCCGTGGGCGAGACTAAAACGATTTAAAACAGTGGGGGGTTCAAAGCCTTTCACTTGCAGCCTTGAGCCCCTTTGGTTCCGAATGGTTATAAAAAAAATGTTTTTGATGTTAATAAATGCGGAGGTGTTTGATGAAAGCAAAGTTGGGGGCCGTCCATAAATGACGTCACGAGATTTTGCACGATTTTGGACCCCCCCCCCTCCTCGTCACACAAAGTCAGACCCCCCCCCTCAAATATGACGTCACAAAGCTCTGCCCCCCCCCAAAAATAAAACATGCTTCAAATCGCTTTAAACTATTGTCATTGTAGTGCGTATTTAACGTGGCACTGCACTCTGATGTTGTAGGAGAAAACATTTATCAAAAAGTCTATTTAATTAAGTAGAACGTGATGTCTTTATTTATTTAAAGTTGCGCATTTTGATGTGACGTCACATTTCTCACCTCCCCCCCCCCCCATCGTCACAAATGTCTTCCCCCCCCCCCGCCCTAGATGCGTGACGTCATTTATGGACGGCCCCATGGAACTTAACGTTGCCCCCCGTGCTTAGTTTGTGTTTTCGATTATTGCGTTTAACACGTTGGCTTTAGCGACCAAAATCATCCATAACAGGTGTGTATTAATTATCTTCTAAACAGAACCTCTGGCCGTGTCTCGCCACCCCCCCCCCAACCCCAGAAAGGGGAACTCGCACCCCCAGGTGAAGAAGAAGAACCGCTGATTCCAACTCACACCACCACCACCACCATCGCCACGATCCATGGGGTAGAGAGCCCGTAGTTGGTGTGTCTACTGCAACATTTCCCCATGTGTTGTTGTAGTTGTTGTTTTCCACTCTCCTCTCTCTCTCTCTGTCTAGCAGTGCTGCCAATGTACTCAAGTAGTGGCCACATCATAGTAGTGTATAGTGTAGTGTATAGTGTAGTATATAGTGTATAGTAGTGTATAGTGTAGTGTATAGTAGTGTATAGTGTAGTGTATAGTAGTGTATAGTGTAGTGTATAGTATAGTGTATATAGTGTAGTGTATAGTGTAGTATATAGTGTATAGTGTAGTATATAGTGTATAGTAGTGTATAGTAGTGTAGTGTATAGTAGTGTATAGTGTAGTATAGTGCAGTGTATAGTGTAGTGTATAGTGTAGTGTATAGTAGTAGTGTAGTGTATAGTGTAGTGTATAGTGTAGCGTATAGTGCAGTGTATAGTAGTGTAGTGTATAGTAGTATAGTGTATAGTAGTGTATAGTGTAGTGTATAGTGTAGTGTATAGTGCAGTGTACAGTGTAGTGTATAGTAGTGTAGTGTATAGTGTAGTGTATAGTGCAGTGTATAGTGTAGTGTATAGTAGCGTATAGTGTATAGTATAGTGTATAGTAGTATAGTGTATAGTAGTATAGTGTAGTGTATAGTGCAGTGTATAGTAGTGTAGTGTATAGTAGTATAGTGTATAGTAGCGTATAGTGTAGTGTATAGTAGTGTATAGTGTAGTGTATAGTAGTGTAGTGTATAGCATAGTGTAAGTGTATAGTAGTGTAGTGTATAGCATAATGTAGTGTAGTGTAAAGTATAGTAGTGTTATGTATAGTGTGGTAGTGTATCGTTTTAGTGTATAGTAGTGTATAGTGTAGTGTATAGTGGTGTATAGTGTAGTGTATAGTAGTGTAGTGTATAGTAGTGTATAGTGTAGTGTATCATCATCACCACGATCCATGGGGCAGATAGCCCGTAGCTGATGTGTCCACTGCAACATTCTCAGTCTTGCAGTGCTGCCAATATACACAAGTCGTGGCCACATCTTCCTGGCACCAATCGCTCGAGATGTCGTGACACTCTGTTAGAGTCTTCCTCTCTTTCCGCTTCCTTCCAGTGTATTTACGCCGTTAAATAATTGTTTTTGTTTTACCAGCTAAAGCCCCACTGAGCAATAATATATTTTTTTCAGAAGCGACCTGGTCTATCGCAAGTGATAGATCAACGAAGTTGGCAGCTGGAAATGTAGAGCAGTAGCGAGATGTTGATTCTAATTATGGTGGGGGGGGGGGGGGCGGAGGACCCGGAGAAAAAATCCACGCGGCGACCACGGGGAGAGAGACACAGCAAACTCCAAATATATGTCCATAATTTATTTTTTTGGGGTTACATCGCGTAAATATGTGTCGTTGAACCCGCGATCACCCGACAGCCAATTAGTAAGCATACGTGTCAAATATACAGCAGCAGGAGGCGTCAGGGTCGGGATCGAACCCACGACCTCCTGTACACCAGGCGAGGTAGTTAACATCTCATAGCCACCGCGGCGTCCTGTACACAACACGTGGCTTAATTAATCGAGGACACAGCAGTCTGCCTTGTCACAAGGCAATCCAGAAGCTTACGAGATTACTAACGTTCCAACCCTACCTCATTAAATGCCGTTATTTTCCACTCCAGCTCAGTGGATTCCAGATTTAGGTTGGAATGCAATAGGTGCAGACCCTGCAAGCGGCAAGATGGTGACTACCTCGCCAGGTGTACAGGAAGTCGTGGGTTCGACCCCGACCCTGATGCTTGCTGTATATTTGGAGTTTGCGGTGTCTCTATCATCACGGTGGCTAGATCTTAACTACCTCGCCAGGTGTACAGGAGGTCGTGGGTTCGATCCCGACCCTGACGCCTGCTGCTGTATATTTGGAGTTTGCGGTGTCTCTCTCATCATCACGGTGGCTAGATGTTAACTACCTCGCCTGGTATGCAGGAGGGCGTGGGTTCGATCCTGACGCCTGCTGCTGTATATTTGGAGTTTGCGTGTCTCTCTCTCATCATCATCACGGTGGCTAGGAGATGTTAACTACCTCGCCTGGTGTACAGGAGGTCGTGGGTACGATCCCGACCCTGACGCCTGCTACTGTATATTTGGAGTTTGCGTGTCTCTCTCTCTCCCCGTGGTCGCGTGGATTTTTCTCCGGGCCCTCCGGGTTTTCCCTTCCACATTTAGAATCAACGTCACGTGTTTAGAGCATCTTGCTGCTGCTATAAACTTGCACGTGATGATGATAAGCCGCTTCGTTGAGTTATCATTTGCGATAGCGAGGTCACTTATGAAAAAAAAGCTACATAGCTCAGTGGGGCCTTCTTACCTGCTAAAATAAAACAAAATAGTTGCGTCTAAGTGATTTGCTCAGGCCACCGCCGGCAGAACGACTCCCAGTGGAGTGGGTGTAAGATCCATCACTGCTCTTGGGGGTTATGGCCACCGCATAACGATCTCACCAAAGCTGATAATCCCTTGGTGTTGGTGCACGCAGCACAGCCAACGACAACCACCACCACACAACACGTGCCATGTCAATAACGCAACACTGTGTGTGGCCCGAGGGATAAAACATAAGGGGTCGTCCATAAATGACGTCACGCATCTAGGGGGGGGGGGGTCAGACATTGATGAACTTGTTTTTTATATTCTTGGTTCTTCCGGTAAAGTCACGTAGAAGGGAAACAATAAAATAAAAAAAATATAAAACAATAAAATTCTCACGTTTCGACTGCAACACAAGCAATCATCATCAGGTGTGAAAACCACAGCAAGAAAATTTGAAAGTGGCGGTTATTTTTAACGTTAGCACCACGGAGAGCGATTTGACAGTTTGTTCAGATGGACGAGTCCATCTATGTTCGGAAAAGAGGGGGGGGAGACGAAAATAATGGATGCGGTCTGAAAGCCACCGTAAACGTGAACAATCAATTAAGACCCGAAATGGATTATCAAATCCTTCCAATGAGTAAACTTGGCCAATGGCGCCAATGGCATCACCAAGACCCCCCACCCCCCAATCTATCACCTCCCGTCCAGTGGCACACTTGCGCGATCTCCACCGGAAATCCTTAAGACGATGCCAGCTTCACTGGGGGAACCGTCGGGTTTCAGGTGCATACAGTCACGCTCTCACGTCGATCCTAACAGATTCGAAGATTCATTCTTTGTGTTTGCTTGCACCACCACCATGACGACGTTCCTGTTCGGTCTTATTCTCACCGTGGCGTTAAGACAACGCTGGGCGTGCAACTTGCACGGACGATCAAGTCGAGTAACAAACCGCGCACCACCATCATGGGACCTCCTTTGCCAGTACCAAAATATAGGAATAGGGTTTTTTCCCTTTTCTGGCAACAAAACTGAAACCTTTTTTTCCAAGGAATCATTTGTGCATTAACCACAATGCTTGTGGTCAAAATGCAAACAAAAACACTCTGATAGTATATGATGCATTGTCCTTGAAACTGATTGGTCCAGACCAGAGACGGCTTTCTTTTGAGCCTCGTCTCAATTGGTGCTCGACCAGATGACGCCAAAAGGCGTACAGCTCAAAGACAATGCACTATCAAAGTAATGAGGGCTCGGGGTAAGCATCTACATCATTAGACCTCCTTTTGCCAGTAACAACATA